TATTTTAGTATAGTTTTATGTCTTTGAAATGTAACGATAAAGGTTTTCACTGTTATCTGACGTCACAGTGCACAGTTTAACATTAAACTAAAATATTTTTTGGTAGTACAGTTTTGATTTGAACAGTCCATCGCATTGGTGACTATCCTGCTACTGCTTGTTTTTGACATATATATATAGTGCAAGGAAAGGTTCATAACCTTTGTTTGCACTATATACTACTAAACACACATCGCCCCATGATGTTAGCTACTTTTAAGGCTTTGACTGCCAATAGAAAACTGGAATGCAAATCTTCCGCTTATATCGGCCACTGATGACCATCAAGGCGTTTTACGTGTTAATAACACAATCATAAAAAATATTCATAAACATTTACAACACACAACTAAAACCAATATTGCTTCTAAAAAAAAACGAAAATCAATAACAACATCATATATTCAACGAACTATCTCCCACGAAAGAGGGGGGTGGGTAAAAATGGGCATCAAACATTAATGACATCATTTGGAGTCCCACAAAGATGCTGAGCAACGGCTGATAGCCGATAGAAACGCCAGTAAAGGGGGATATAATGTGAATATTATACAGTATCAACTTTCCCCCACTCTCTAATGACTGGTAAAAGAAGCTGACAGAAGTTTCATTGTATCGACAACTACAGTTTCAGGGGACTTTTGCTTACCATAAAACAGAACGCTCGCGATAAGAGTTAGAAATACTTTCATTTTCATTTATGTCATATTTTTCTTACTAAGCTTTAAATGCTAAATACTGATTTCGTTCTTACATTGAAGATTTCTCAGCCAAAAAACAAAAGTATAATATGTTCAATAGTTCACCAGTAGAGAGCAAATCCTGTGCGTCATTATTATTGGTTGAATATTTGAGATTTATCTTAATGATTAACCAAAGAAAAACTTTGCTAGGAACTTTAAACTATGATTTCCAAGTCAAAGTCAAAGTCAGAGCATTTATTTCAATTAAACCATAGTTTGGTACTTTTAAAACGTCAACAAATACAAAATAAATAATAGTCTGTCAGTCAGATTACCTAACAAAGTCTGGTGTCAGTTTGACATTCGAAACTTGATTTATTGATTATTTGCGAATGAATAAATTACTTAATAATATATCATAAATTACTTATATAACATATTACTTATATATAATTACCTATATAAAACTGACTGCCTCGTTGGCCGAGTGGTCGCAAGTGCGACTGCCGGGCAAGGGGTCTCGGGTTCGATTCCCGGGTCGGGCAAAGTATTACTGAGTTTTAAAAAAATTCTCAGTAGTAGCACGGAGTCTGGAATTGTGCCCGGTATATGGCAATAGGCTCACCCCCTATTACATGGGACTCATAACATAAATAGTGAAAAGTGGGTGTTACATTGTACAGTGGCATAATGTGCACCTCTGCCTACCCCTTCGGGGATAAAAGGCGTGATGTTATGTTATGTTATGTTGTCACTCAACCTTGGGACTAGTAATAATGACAATGTACTTTTTTCCTAAAAGTTAATATAAGCAAGCAATTCACATTCTTTTAACATATCTACCAGACAATAATATCAAACAAATGCTAAACATACCGTGTTCACTTAAGTTTATTTTAACTAAAATCGCGGGTTATTTACGTGAATTTACTGAGAAAAGCTCTACTAGTCATGAGGAAGAACCCCTCTGTGGTTCGAAACTAGTAGAGCTTTTCTCAGTATATTCAAGTGAGTAACAAGCGATTTTAGTTAATTTAGTATGTCTCACGATAGTTATTATAAAAACAGAGTTTATTTTTGTAATTATTATATAATTTTCGTGAAACATACTAAATTAATTATTATGTTTTTCTGCTTACTCACGTAATTATTTGACGAACTCTGAAACTAGTCAAAGTAAGTAGATGATGTCAAAGTAAGAAATTGTTTTTTAAAAAAGTTGTTTTAATCGTGATAAGAATAAGACTGCCTCGTTGGCCGAGTGGTCGCAAGTGCGACTGCCGAGCAAGGGGTCTCGGGTTGGATTCCCGGGTCGGGCAAAGTATAACTGGGTTTTAAAAAAAATCTCAGTAATAGCACGGAGTCTGGAATTGTGCCCGGTATATGGCAATAGGCTCACCCCCTATTACATGGGACTCATAACATAAATAGTGAAAAGTGGGTGTTACATTGTACAGTGGCATTAAGTGCCGTAATGTGCACCTCTGCCTACCCCTTCGGGGATAAAAGGCGTGATGAGGCATCCTTTGTATATTATCAATTTAATCAGAAGCGAATGTAATGATTTTTATGAAGAAGATTTTGCTTTATCAAAATTATGAATTTACTATATAATATAATGAATTTGTCTACTTTTTTGAATAAGTGCCTATATTATCTGTCTGGCATATAATGCTTAGTAGACTGGAAGATATATTTGAACACAAAGGCGTGCTTCAAAGTTACATTTTTCTTTCTTTTGCTTCAGTGAATTCTTTAAGACGATTTGATTTTAGATATAATATTATTCTTACTTCTTGCGTATATTTTGATAGCTCATTGCGAAAAACGTCTTTAAGGTATTAAAGAGTTAAAACCTCGAATGGATTATTGTCATAGCTTTGATTCTAATGAATCAAGAATCCAATTTGCTGATTTTTGCGTGAATGTTATATTGATGAAGACGCACCGCAATCCAAAGCCCGGGGCTTCAGGGCTTCAAAGTGCAGGAGTAGGAATGAGGTGGTTTTTAGTCAGTAAGAGTCTGACACTTCCTCTCCCCTCACCCGGGCGAGAAAAATCATTGCATGATATTCCATCTTCAAAAAAAAAATACAGATTCTGATTTTCTATGGCCGTACTACAATCTCGGGAATTACTAAAACACCCTTTTTCCCTTAACCAATTACTTAAAAACTCCATATTAAAAAGGTTCTTTTTTTCATTCTCAGCTACTGTAAGTAAATAAAGTCCCGTTACGATTCATCCTACATCTTCTGAGATAGTATCAAGTTAAGTCAGTCTTTGCATTTTAATGTTCCCGTTGTCCCGCAACCTAATATACTGTTATGTGCTGCGATATTTTAGGTTGTGCGCCTCTAGTCACTTTTTAAACCCCATTTTCTTTAGAGGTTTTAATTTTTTCACAGGTGTTGTGTGTGGAGAAGAGAGAGACTTTTACGTGCTTGTAATGAAATATGCCTATGTTTGTCTTCATGTTTTTTAATATCTGTGATAGTTTTTTTTTATTATTATTAAAACTTTGCCCCACACTAGGATTTTCTCCTGTGCCGTGGGTGCGTTTACAACCATACAATTTCACATACACAATACACCCAGACCTGAAACAACAATTTGTGGATCACACAAAGTGTCCCGTGTGGGAATCGAGCCCGCGACACTTTGCACGGCAGCCGGTTGTCCAGCCACCGCACCAACCGTACAGTCGAATATATATAGATCTTTACTTTAATTTTGATCGATTACTTATGTTAAGGAATTTGTTTATATAAATAACTTGTCCTAGAATTAGTAATATTGCGAGTGCTCCTTTCGCCTGTGACACAGAATATTCTTCCTAGTACAGCCATTCAAACTTGGTGAGATCCCTGATTTTAAATTAAGATGTATCTTTGTACTATGACCAATTTATTATAATGAATAAAGATATTAAAAAGAATAAAGATATTAATAGGTACTTACTTCTATATAGGATAAAAAAGAAAAGGTTTAATAAATCTTTTTATGTGATACTTGTAGTTTTGATTTTTTGAAATCTGGATCAACGAGGCTATCGTTAGAAGAATATAAAGTTTACGGATTTTATTAAAATTTTTATAGATTTGAAATCAGATCTCCTAACAAGATCAGAGACAGACGTCAAGATGAGTACAGCATTAACTTGCCTCGGCTTTCAGTATCACCGTCTGTGACCTCGACGTGAAATAAGGAATTGCAACATCAGAATTCAAATTCCCGAACTCCATACCGGTACTCGAGGAACATTTTTATTAAAATATGCTCAGAATTATGTCTCGAAATGAATAAATTTTCTTCACCCCCCTTCGTCTTTACGGCTCGCCTGGGGTTTTAATAAAAAAAAACTCTACGCTGAGTGTAAATTGTGTTAGGAAAATGGTTTTCCGTTGTTTTCCCTTTTTGCATATATTGTTCACCTGATTTTATGAAGTGAAGTTTTCTCTGGATAGAAAAGATTTCGGTTTAGGTGGGAACTGGGTATGAAGGCATTGCTGTTATTGGGAACAAATATAGATTCTATCTTTATGAATATGTCAACAAGGGAAAAATTTCGTTCTGCTTTTGTTTCATCGATTTTTCAAATAAAGAAGAGAATAGATTTGATGTTACGACTTATATGCACATTTAAGGTACACAAGTCAATGTCACGAAATCAGATGATAAAGGTTTGATTTACCTTTATTTTACCTAAAAAAGAATGAAAGTCAGGTGACATTTTATATTCAGTAGAAAAACAGTGTAGGCTTCAAAATGAAGGTATTCATGAGAACAAAGAAGATCATAAATCCATTGTTTCATCCAACTGTATTAAGATTGTCATTTGTCGAATATTTTGATGTCACGGTTTAGGAGAGCGTTCACCGTGGTTTATGTATTGTATTGTATTGTTTAATTTAGAATTAAATTCTTCGCCAAAATTTTGAATTATATTAAATTCTTTAGTAGATATACACGCAATTATTTATTCAATGTATAATATTTTGGTTTAGAAATTGTGAATTTCGAATATGCAGCGTAGCCGTTGGAATGATAAGAATAAATGGATAGACACAAGTTTTATCCAGATAAAATGGGTCTGATTGCAAACTCAGACTTCAGTCAAGGTCAAAGAATTTTTAAACAAACATAACATCACGCCTTTTTATCCTCGAAGAGGTAGGCAGAAGTGCACATTACGGCACTTAATGCCACTGTACACCCACTTTTTACTATTTATGTTATGAGTCCCATGTAATAGGGGGTGAGCCTATTGCCATATACCGGGCACAATTCCAGACTCCGTGCTACTACTGAGATCTTTAAAAACCCAGTAATACTTTGCCCGACCCGGGAATCGAACCCGAGACCCCTTGCCCGGCAGTCGCACTTGCGACCACACGGCCACTTGGCCAACGAGGCAGTCAATACATATATAAAAAAAGAGGCAGTCAAAACATATTTTATCTGTTTTTAATTTGCAAATTTAAGCCTAGTGCTCACCACAATACACCTCCGGGTATAGCATAGCGGTATATTTTATTACCATTTATAAGACCTATATCTGTATGCACTTATGTAAACAAATAAAAGTCATTTGATTTGATTTGATTTGAAAGATAAAGATTATTTTAAAATCTAAAACACTCATAAACAAAAACAAACCTAATTACAAAAACCATAAGGTCTACTAAACGAGGTCTAAAAAGGCCTATAACCGCACACAACTCACTGTAACGCCAAGGTTTACAGGCGATCCCTTTCATAACGACAGATAATTAAGGTTCAGTGCAGATCGTAATTTTCTTTGCAACACAAAGCGTGGGTAACAAATTGTCGGCCATCATTGTCTGTCCGGAGTTAATATGAACGGTGTTCACTCCAGCTGAGTTGTAGGGTCATAAAGTTGGTAGTTTTTTGTAATTACTATACATTACGTATATGTGTGTGTACTTGTTGAAGGTTTACGATTTTATTTTTGTTTGTGTTGTTAAAAGGGATTTTTATTGCCATATTTATTTTATGGGACAAGCCGGCTATTACTTCCCCAAACCGCTACAACTCCTGTAAGCCAGGATCTGCAGTAGATACAACCATGAAAGCACCGGACCACTGAAGTCCGATGCGTCCCAGGGACATGAGTTACTTTAACTTTACTGTCTTGGTTCCCGCAACGAAATGACTCAAAAAATATTATAATAGGAGAAGAAGAAACGAGTTTTCACTTCACTTGGTGAATTACTGCAGGAGACGGAATGAATTAAGCCTAAAGGCGCAAAAAGAGACTGTACAACTGGGTGACGCCCAGTCGCCAAGCACCACGGAAACATGACTAATAAACTAAGTGGGTCCGATGTGAGCTATTGTACTTGCTTCCAAAAATAGGTATTGCTTCCAAAATGCTTTAACGCACTGAAATGCCGTATAATATTATTAAAGTTAAACGGTCAGATTAGAGATCGTACTTCAGGTGCTACAAAGCTCATTATTTCAGGGTTTATAAAGAGCGCTGCATACCTGCTCCCTAAAAACCCTTTCAAATATATATTTCCTGTACTTTAAGTCATGTACCTTTCGCCAATTATTATCCGTGGGTACTGAACAGAGCGGGTGGTGACAGAGGTATATTCTTCTCTATGGTTACACGATTAATAAACTAGAACTTTTCCTCTTAATACGATTCATAAATTGTTTCACCCGTACCTTAAGTTCAACATTCATACCCGCTGCTCTCTTAGCCTCACCAAAGTTACGTGCAAACCGCCCGAAGCGGTTCATGCGATCCTGATTGTTTTACAGTTTCGTTCCCTATCCCTATCACCACCTTCACAAAATTCTTTTATCAACCGCTTTGAACTGTTGACGCCAAAGTCTTTGCATAGAGTTTCTTAAGCTTTTAGAGAATAAACGAAGTTTTTGCTTTATCTTCTAGTAAACGTCATGTTATTTCTTAAGTGTGCCTGACGGACAGACTGACAAGTTTGTGGTGAAATGTCTAGAAAGTGTAAATTGAAATGAAGGTGCTTTAATTTTTGGTGTTAATTTTGGATAACTTTTAAGTTATGCTACAGAAGTTTAAGACACTCGTAACATCGTAGACTGTGATAATTTAGTACAATCTTTAGGTTAGTATTAAAATTTCTGCAGTACCTACATTTGTAACTATGTTTTTGGTGCGTATTTTCGGTCAACAGTACATACATTTTAATTTTTCTATTAATAAAAGAACCTATGAGGAACAACAATCTGCAAAATGATATCATTTTGCAGATTGTTGCTAAGATAACTTATACTAAATATTTAGCGATTGTTTCTTTACCCCGACTTTAGAAACGAAACGAAGGTTCAGAACCACAAAATAAACGATGTGCTGCCAATATCAGGTCCACGTGAGTTACATAAAAACAACTTTTGTACCAATTTCTAGTTTACTGTTAAATTACTTTCCTCTGAAACTGTTAGTTTAAACTAAACGCTTCGAATTTTGTTATACTCTACTTTATTGGACGCTTGGATTGTTGTTGCTTGTTTTAATTTATGATGCCCTGGTACATTTTGCTCGTGTGGAGTTTAAAATACCACTATTTGCAGCAAATTCAAATTTGTTTTTGTTGTTTATTTTCAATACTGGTGCTCACATGGTGGTAGGTTTTTTATATTCTAGTTTTATAAATGAATATATTTATTAAATGAAAGGGCTAACAATGAATATGGTCAAAAAAACTTAAGCAATTCTGATGTTGAAATCGTGCTTTAGCTATTGATACAGATCAGATGAGCAAAAGAATCCCTGATGCTCAGTGATCTGCTGGACCTGCATTATATAGCATTGCTCTTTTTTTAGATTTAGAATATGGTATTAATTTCAATAAATCTAAAATCATACTCAGAATACTTGCAACTACAAAGACCGGGCCGATATCGACTGCATAATAAGTTATGTACCCATTAAAATTCAAATTAATTACACCAACAAGACACATCGTTTGCCTTCCAAAGCAGCCTAAAATATATTTAATTAGATATTTTCCATCCAAAATATTCAAGAAAAGCGGCCAAAACCCAAGAAATAACAAGAGATTAAGTTGCCGATTCAGGAACACCCTTTATAACAAAATATTACTGTGCATTATTAAAAGCACAAACTTGGGGTTTATTATTTTGCAAATCAAAGAGATTATGCAAATATTAAGTCGCGTTCGCTTTGGACATGGAGTAACAGGAAACTAGAAAGTGCAATGGGATGGTTTCTATGTTTCTTGCTCGTTCTCCTCCGTACATAATTACGGATATTTTGAAATGACCACCTAACTCAAGTAACGAACATTCTAATGAACAGCTTGAAGAACCACATAGGCGTTATGTTTCCCAAGTGATTGAGGTGACTAAAGGCCAATTCTTTCTCGGAATAAGCCTCCGAATCCTTAAAATATTCGCAACGTACTTGTAATGTGTCTGGTGTGACGGGTGAGTATTGATGGTGCCGATTACTTACCATCAAGTTAACGGTACGCTCATTCGCCACCTAATGTCATACAAAATAGAATCAAACTAAATTATTCTTTCATAAACTACGTTAAAATTTAAAAAAATCGATTAAATATCTCTTTTTTGAAGTCGGTTAACTAATATACTAAAACCTTTTCCTAAGTGTACCTAACAAACATTTTAATGAAAACCAAATGAAAATCAGTTCAGCCAATTGCGAGATAATCGCGCAAAAACATGCAAAACTGAGAACCTCGTTCTTTTTTGAAGTCGGTTAATAATAAACTCTGCACGATCTATGAAGTTTAAATCCTTTCGCAGTACTGTCAGTACCAACCGCCGGAATTGAAGAAATTAATTTAATAAACAAACAATAATAAATCGTGGCGGCGTCGGTCGGCGTCGGTCGGCGTCGGCTTCGCAATAATATCGTAATGAGGTGAATAAGCGTACCCCAAGTAAGTACCATCATTTATTGGTTATTTTGTTGCTTGTTAGACACGCTGTGATATTCCTTGTTTCGTGTTAATTTTGTTTCTGCGGTAAGGTTTCAAGTTTCTTCGAGTTTGAGGGAAGAAAATGCTGGTTTTTGGCGTGTTTGTTTGTTTGTTTGTGTTTATGTTTTTTGATTGTATTTTGTTTTAAAGGTGTATTGTAAGTGTGAAGTTTTGAGTGAAAAGTATTATAAGGTTTTTGTGCCTTGATAGTCTAGGGTTAGGGTTAATTAAAATCTGTTTTCACTTATGTTTCAATTTCAGTATCGCCTATAATATGGTCTTTGAATTTCGAGGAAAATTCTCAAAATAATTTTAATAGACTAACAAAATGATAGTAATAGTTGATATGTCAGCCACCTTAGAATTGTGACTACATTACAGTATTATTTGATATGCTCCCATCATAGTCTCTGCTCATAAACAAATGATATAACTAAAATGTATCAACTGTATTGTTAACTATTGTATTATATTTGTATTGCATTGTATTATTTAGCAATAAAACATTTTATGGGAGCAGAGAAGCTGAAGTATTCTTAGCTTTACATTTTGCATTGAAATAACCTTTCATTTGACTAGATAACAAGGAAACTAGTTTGTTTTATTTACATTAACAATGCTAGTTTATTTAATGTTTAGTTTTCAAAATCAAAATGAAATATTGTAGGTAGGTATTTTCGGTATTTTAGGCGGACCTTTGGGGCCACGGGTGCGTAGAGTGGGGACTCTAGGTGCCCACCTTGTGGTCTCAGGGAAGACGGTGGCACAGTGGTCACGTGCCGCCGTAGACAGCAAGGCTTAGAGACACCCGTCTCCCTAGGGATGTGTCGTAACAGGCGTTGCACCGTGGAGGCGCCGGAGCAGGTCTCTTATAGAGGACCCGGTGCCTCCATTCAGGTGTTGAGGGTGGCCACCGGGGTGGTTTTAGTCACACTCCCTAGTCTTTTATCCCCAAAAAGGCTAGGCGCCTATTGAAGGTTTCCCCCCGTTGTCAAAAAAAAAAAGGTAGGTATTTTAGAAAAATTTAAAAGGATTGCCTCGTTGGCCGAGTGGTCGCAATTGCAACTGCCGGGGCAAGGAGTCTCGGGTTCAATTCCCGGGTCGGGCAAAGTATTACTGGGTTTTTTAAAAATTCTCAGTAGTAGCACGGAGTCAGGAACTGTGCCTGGTATATGGCAATTGGCTCACCCTCTATTACACGGGACTTATAATATAAATATTGAAAAGTGTGTGTTACATTGTACAGTTGTATAATGTGCACCTCTACCTACCCTTTCGAGAATAAAAGGCGTGATGTTATATTATGTTAAAAGGATCTTTAAAAAGAAAAAATATTTATTTTACATGTTAAAAACATTTGTGTTTGTGTATAGTGATTTGTCTTCCTTTCTTTCTTTCTTTCAATATCTTAACACGAGATCATCTTAACCGAGATAAAGACAGTGGACATAATTGCAGTC